GTCAGTATCGGTTCACGTCAGATTCAAGGCCTCGACTACCGCGTTTGCCCACTCATAGACGTAATTTGGCGTTAATGGGAGCTCTGAATGCATTGCTAATTCCGTATATGCGGACTAGCACAAATTTATTTGATACCCACTCGATCCTGTATTGTGGTGCCATTGCGGTTTGCCGTGTTGCTGGTGTCCAGTTCCCAGACTCGGACAGAGCAACGCGTCCTGCCGGGATGACACCCGCGTGGCAAATACGGATCGAGCGGCGTATTAATGCATTCAGAACTCTCATTGCAAAGCTAATTTGTTTTAGACGGGGAAATAATCGTCCCCGAGTCATGCGGTTTGTGACGCAAGCCTTTGCTGGGACTGGCGTTCTACCTCAGGACTACATGGCTTGTGTCACAGAACGCATTGACTACCTAAAGCAAAAAGTCTATGCATGGGCAAACCGTATTCGTCGCTACAAAGAGCGCGTGAACAGATACTGGCAAAATCGTGTCTTCCAAAGTGACCAGAGGAAGGTGTACCGGAGATGGGAGGGAGCTGATCAACGTGTGAGCGACGGGCAGCTGCCAGATGTCAATACCATGATTGATTTCTGGCGTGGCATTTGGTCGATGCCCGTTGAGCACACTGAGGGTGATTGGATGCGTGTAATTGAGCGTGAATGTGAGTCCATCGAATCCATGGGGTCTATTGTTATAGATCCCGAAGACGTTAGTAGTGCAATCAGCACGGCCCAGAACTGGAAAAGCCCTGGGCCGGACGGATTGCACAACTTTTGGATTAAGTGGATTCGATGCTCACATGACCGTTTAGCGACACAATTCCAAGAAGCCCTCGAGCTCGGTTCCCTTCCAGCCTTCATGACTACCGGTGTCACCACCTTGCTCTACAAATCTGGTAGTACCATGGACCCAAAGAACTACAGACCGATTACATGCTTGCCTACCATCTACAAGCTCCTTACATCTATTCTGACCACAAAAATTAATACGCATATTGTCGCGAACAATATCTTGGCCCCTGCTCAGAATGGATGTAAGGTTGGGTCTCGTGGTACTAAAGAGCTCCTCCTCATAGACATGACCATTAGCCAACAAGTTCGACGGAGCAGGAAAGCTCTCTCTGCTGCCTGGATTGACTATAAGAAGGCCTATGATTCGGTGCCTCATTCATGGCTAGAGAGGATTTTAGAGTTGTATAAGGTAGATGCAACTCTGAGATCCTTTTTAAGCTCATGCATGGGGCAGTGGACTACAGTCCTTCGGCAACCAGGTGGTAGTGAGAGGTCTCCTGATCCATTGAACTTCATAAGGATTGAGCGAGGCATTTTCCAGGGTGACAGTTTGAGTCCCTTATGGTTCTGCCTAGCACTGAATCCTCTTAGCACTCTGTTAAAGGATTCAGGGCTTGGTTATCGGCTTCGAAGAGGGGGTGAGGTCATTAGTCACCTGCTCTACATGGATGATCTCAAGTTGTTCGCACCAAAACGACAAGACCTGGTGAAGTTGCTAAAAACCACACAGGTATTTAGCAACGCCATCAGGATGGAGTTTGGTGTAGACAAGTGTGCGGTCTTACATGTAGAGCGGGGAAAAGTTGTGAATTCCCCGAATTTACAACTTTCTGAGACAATGACACTCAAATCTCTCTCCGAAACTGAGACCTATAAGTATCTTGGTATGTCAGAATCGTTAGGTATATCTGTAGAAGACATCAAAAAATCGGTGAAAGAACGCTTTTGTAGCCGACTGACAAAAGTTCTTAATAGTCTTTTGTCTGGCGGCAACAAAGTAAGAGCTTTCAACGGTTGGGTGATGCCTCTATTGATATACTCCTTCGGCATACTAAGATGGACTCAGACTGAACTTGACGCCCTGGATAGGAAGGTACGTCAGCAGCTCACACAACATCGCATGTTACATCCGCGTTCATCTGTGATGAGACTGTACATTCCACGGAAGTGGGGTGGTCGAGGCTTTTTAAATGCCAAGAACCTCCACAACCGTGAAGTGTGCAGTCTCAGGGATTATTTCCGGTCTATTCCACTTTGATCACCTGGCTTTGATGACCCAGGTGATCAAAGTCCACTTCCAGCCACAATTTAGTGTCCTTTGATCACCCACGGATATGATGCCCTGGGTGATCAAAGTGGACTCCAGTTAAATTATTATTTTAGTGTCCTTTGATCACCTACATAAAAATCACACCTCTGAATAGACACGTCATGTCCAATTGTTGTACGTACAAACATTTTCTTAATTTAGACATTTTTTTGCAGCATGAAATATTTTAAAGGGTAACTTACCTAAACAATGTTTGTCCGTACATTAAGTATAAGAGGAGGTGTGATTTGTATGTAGGTGATCAAAGGACACTAAAATAATAATTTAACTGGAGTCCACTTTGATCACCCAGGGCATCATATCCGTGGGTGATCAAAGGACACTAAATTGTCGCTGGAAGTGGACTTTGATCACCTGGGTCATCAAAGCCAGGTGATCAAAGTGGAATAGACCTTATTTCCTTGCCAATGAGTGCGGAATGCATCGCGATGTTGTGGCAGTTGACAAAGGCCTCACGCCGCTCTCCTTGGCGAACGAGAACTGGCGCAAGCCAAAGGTCCTGAGCGTCGCGGATCGGAAGGACGTATGGAAGAGCAAGGAGCTGCACGGGAGGTTCTATCGGGCCCTTACAGGTCCTGATGTAGACCTCCTCGCCTCGGTGAACTGGCTACGCTTCGGTGAGCTCTTTGGGGAAACCGAGGGTTTTGCTTGTGCAATTGCTGACGAGGTCATGATGACGAACAATTACCGAAAATATATCCTGAAGGACGGTACGGTCGACATTTGTCGAGCATGCCACCGTCCCGGAGAGTCACTCAGGCATATAATTTCTGGTTGTTCGCATCTTGCTAACGGTGAGTACTTGCACAGGCATAACCTAGTAGCCAGAATCATCCATCAGCAACTTGCTCTTCAGTACGACCTTCTTGAATCTGAGACGCCTTATTACCGATACCAGCCGGTGCCAGTTCTCGAAAATGGTCATGCATTGCTCTATTGGGATCGTTCTATCATCACAGACAGGACTATTGTCTGTAATAAGCCTGATATTGTGGTGGTTGACCGATCCCAACGTCGGGCAATGCTCGTTGACATTACCATCCCGCATGACGAAAACCTCGTGAAGGCCGAGAAGGAAAAGCAAAGCAAATACCTTGACTTGGCCCACGAGGTGACCGCCATGTGGGATGTTGACTCGACGATCATTGTCCCGATAGTTGTCTCGGCAAACGGGCTAATAGCGAAGAGCTTCGACCAACATCTAAAGAAGCTCTCGCTGGATGGTTGGCTCAAGGGTCAGATGCAAAAGGCGGTGATCCTCAGCACGGCACGCATTGTCCGGAGGTTCCTCAGCCTGTGACCCTACCACCGGTAGCTTGGGCCCTGCTCCGCTACCAGCGGAATAACTATTTTTAAGTATTTTTTATTATGTATTTTTTTTTTATAATTTACATTGTAAAAAAATATTTAAAATTAAGAACCAAAGTTAATAAAGAGAATAATAATAATAATAAAATTTATTTGCTTAAAATGTGGTTGACATAGGTGTTACAATTATTACAAAATATAATTTATAGTACTCACATTTTACCAATATTATGGCATGCAAAAACTATGTACGAGTAATAACAGCACTTTTCAAAACAACAATCCATTTAAACAAAGAAAAATATCTACATAGAAATATTTAAACACATAATTCCTAAGCTTTATGTTGTTCTCTAAGGGTTGATCCAATGAGAATTGTCTGAAATACATTGTTTGAATAATAATTTATAACAGAAAAAAATACGTATCAGCTTTACATAATATTTCTCTTCAAAAAAACTTCATTTCAGCGCATTGTTTTCCAAGAATACGCGTAGTACGGAACCCCACGAGTCGCGTTCGAAAATGTTACTTGTCATTATACCACGCACGGAACGTATGAGTTAATTTATTATGTTAATTGTTGTTTGAGAAATGCGTTAAGCTAACACCAACGGTGATATTTTAACGTGACGTGTACACGGGGGACGCTCGAAGGAATTTTTTGTTACGAAAATAAATTGTGAAAACATTGTAACGACAAAAATGTGGGTTTCGACTCAGATTGCTTGAGACGTTTGTTTTGATAAGCAGTTTATTATTGTAGGAAATATTCAATGTGTTTTTTGAAAATAAACGCGTTTGGCTTTGTTAAGTTAATAAACTGAACTGAACTAAATAAAAGCGTGTCTATAAACTTACCTCACTTATATCAAAATCTAACCCATTACTGTTACCAAGGCTGTGTATAATTTTTATTTATATTCTTATGTTAACAAAATAAGAATATACCCAGCAGACTCTCGTCATAGATTGGTTTCAATGATAGATTCTTTTTATCCCTTGACTTCAATATCATTGGACCATAATTACAAAAAATATACGAGTATTAACCTAAAATAACGTTAATGCTGAAAAAAGTTATTCTTGTCCTTACATATCTACTAGTCATTAAGAGTGTCACAAAGTTCTAGCTCAAGTGAGAATCTTAGAGTAACATGAGCAAGAAGCTGTTAGAATGCTTACAACTCGGCTAACAATCAAAGTCTGAAAATACGGCAAAAGGAAAATACGCACAAATGAACCTCATGCCTCCATTTCAATTGTGACGATTTCCGCGCTTATTGAATACGCGTACAATGCGAATCGATGTATCGAAAAATGTAATATGGGAGCCACTCGGCTGTGATACGATCCGAGGATACTGGCAAGAATTAGATATTATACATATAAAATCATATTAATACGTTAAAGCTAGCACCCATAACACAAGCATTAATTGCTTACTTTGGGGCTAGCTGTAAAATTTGATAGGACCTGCCATATTCCAGATTTTCCAAAATCAAAAAATCTGTAAAATAATTAATCATTGAATATTTTTACTCATTTGTAAATAAAACAAAAAAGAATAATGAACAATCCAGTTAAATTATTATTATGCCGTTGATAAGATCCAGGACAGGTATGAAGTGACACGTGCAAAGACAGAGAATTGGCCTGCTTCACAACTGTGAGCCCCAAAGGAAACCACGCCGATCTGTGAATAAATAAATGCTACGTTCAGTATAAGTAGAAACTTTTGAGTATGACCTACCAAAGTGTGTGTTTTCTACTGGATACAACGTTAATAAAAAAGTGTTAAATTTATTTAAGCGAGTCAGGAAACTCATTCCTAATTCGTCTTGTGATCGCTTACACGTTTCGCGCTATCTCGTTTTGCCACATCATCATCATCATTTCAGTCATAGGACGTCCACTGCCCAATGATTTCCATAAAGGTTGGTTGGTTGGTAGCGACCTGCATCCAGCGCCTTCCTGCTACCTTTATAAGGTCGTCCTTTTATCCTTCCTAAGTTGTACTATGGTATGGTATGGTAATATGGTAGACCAAAATATCATTGTCTTTGTCATTACCTGAATTCGGCTGTTGCCACTACCGACCACGAGTGGGCCACCAGAATCGCCGACGCAGACGTTAACGCCAACTGGAGCCGTAGTGCACAACGACGATGCGACGATGTTCGGCCATCTTGGAAGGCACTGAGCGTTCGTGATCACTTGCAGGTTCGCTTGCCTCAACTCCTGGTTTTGTGCGGGTGGTGTAACTAAAATATTTAGGTTCAATTTTAGATCCATCAAAATTACCTGTACTTTAGAATTTATTCAAAATGTTATATTAATGTACAGTCATATTGACTAACTAGAAAACTGAGTAACTTACAGTCTGATGTCATCCCAAAGCCCATGGCCATAGCCCAAGTGCCAGCAAAGTTGTTGTTCTGTTGCCCAGTCGGCAGGTTTATGGGACTGATGATATCTAGGAAAAACAAAGACAAACTGGATAAAAACAACAATTAAATGATAAAATTTGTATAAAAGGAAGACGTTTAAATGTATAAAAGGAAGACGTTTAATTCCTATTGATTAACCGACGACCTGGTGAATGTTGCAGAAGCCACCTAGATGTGGATAACGCAGGCCATTAGTTGGAAAGATAGAAGAAAAGAAAAGAAAAATATGAAAAGTTAACTTACTGGTAAATGTAACCCAGTTGTGCCTGACGATGGCTATGTCGTTTTGGTAATTATTTACGTTCCAGCTGGGATGCATTACGATGTCAGAAGTATCAATGCGGATGCCGCCGAAATGCAGCCTCTGAGACCCGAACACCATCGTGAACCGTTGTGCCCAGCGCCAGCCGTCGAACCAGCAGTGCGCCGCCGTCAGCGAGCGCGTGTTCGACAAAAGGGATGCCCCGCATACTGACGTAGCTGAAGTCCCAGCAAAATGGCTCACAATTCCCACCTGTATAGATAAATTCTATTAGGAACTGCTTTATCTAACTCTTATAATGCGAACAGCTAGGGACTGGAATTCGCTGCCTGCTGCTTTATTTCCCAAACACTTTAATCCGGGCCTTTTCAAGGCGAGAGTGAAAAGGCACTTACAGGGCAGATATGTACCATCTTAGAGTGCTGCATCTCACATAACACCAGGTGCAATTTTAGAATACCATCATTGCGAAATACGAGACCTACCATGAAAGGATGCGCGCCTAAATTCGACGCGGTGCCGCCAACAATTCTGGTATAATTGACTTGTTTCTCCAACTCCATTAAGCGCGCAGACAGTGGAATCCCCACAGCGTCATGGTAATACCACTGCGGTCCCTCGATGGGGTTCGCTCCTACCACTGCCGCTGCCGCTACGAACACTAGCCAAGACCACTTCATTCCTGCAACCCTGGTACAAAAATGACATTGAGTAACATACATTATTTATTTATATTGATTGTTATTATCCTAATAAAGGAAATTTTGAAGATAAAAGTTATTAAATCGGTAACAACTTCCATATTCCAAATGGATTTTCCAATAGCTAATCTGTAAAATAATCTCGTAATGATTGTATCATACTTTACTGATCATAATTTTTATGGAGTTGAAAATCTGACGTTAATACTCGTAATTGAAATCAGTAATGGAAAATCCTAATTATCGAAATTATGTGATAGATAAGATAAATGAGCCAGTGTCTTCATAATTATCACTATAATACCGATGTACATCCATAAGCGGTTCACTGTTGTGAGCTAGGTTTGCAATGATGAAGTGGAATTGGCTGGTGTTCTTAGCTGCGGTGGCGGTAGAAGCAGGTCCTTTCAAGGGATCGCAGTGGTCTTATCATGAATCTGTGGGGATCCCGCGCTCAGAACAATTGAAGAAGTTGGAGCTAGCAGCCAATTCTACACGAATCGTTGGGGGCACTCCTGTACCTCTCGGCAGGCATCCGTTTATGGTAAGTTTAAAAAAAATATATTTTGGGAATATACTTAAATCGTGATTTTAATGGCATATTGAGCTGTGTAGGCATGTAAATGACACCAGAGTTGTGACTCCAGTGGGTTGTAAACCGAAATCACCCAAGAATTAAAATACCTAGATACATTTTTATGCATTCAAACAAAATGAATTGCACAATTAAATAGCTAGATCTAATCGCTTAACATGGAGCGAGGAATTAAAAAGGAGTGGGGTGCTTACTTATAATAAATGTATTTATGAACTCAGGTAGGACTCGTGATCCACCTAAATTACGTTGATTGGTTCACGTCGATGTGCGGCGCGTCTCTCCTGACGCACACACGGTCGCTGACGGCGGCGCACTGCTGGGACGACGCACGCATGTTCACCTTGGTGTTCGGCTCCCAGACGCTGCATACTGGTGGCTTGCGTATCGACTCCGAAGACGTCGAGGTCCATCCCGATTGGAACCCAGATAACCTACATAACGATGTCGCTATCATTAGGCATGACTGGGTCCAATTCAATAGTAAGTCTACCTATGGATCCTGAAAAAATTGATCTAGCTGATGTTTTTAATTCGGATTGGATACTTCATATTGTAAAATTTGTGTTTTCAGATGCTATCAGCCCTATAAACTTGCCTATTGAGGATGCGAATAACGACTTTTTGGGAATGTGGGCAGTTGCTATGGGCTACGGGCGGATATCAGACAGTATGATGTAAATTTTGTATCAGACAAATCATTTTAAAGGATTAATAGCGATGACTAAATTATGATAACAAATTTTATGGAAGAAACCCAGATGGATTTAGCATAACATAGGATTTTAAGCAATATAGTTACAATCTTTTCAGCAAATCCAAACCCAGCCAACCCAGAGCTTCGTGAAGCAAACCTACAAGTGATCTCGAACGAGGAGTGCGTTCAAAGGTACCCCAATAACGTGGTTTCGTCGACTCTGTGCACCTTGGCTCCTGTCGGCATCAACACCTGCGTGGGAGACTCAGGCGGCCCTCTAGTGGCTGGTTCAGGTCCCGACAAAGTTCAGGTGAGAATTACTTTACATACCTAACTAAAATGCAGGGAATACTCGTACTATTGTAAGATTTTACTTCTGATTTCCCGTTAGCCTTGCTAGATCTAGATTCTTATACCTATTTTTGGGAATTTAATTTAAAGATCTTACCTATCCAAATAAATCCAAATGTAATCTTACCATTAAGCTTACATTATTTTGGAGATTTCTGCAATAATTGCATTTTTAATTTCTTGTAAATTCTACAGAAAATAGTCGGAATTCAGATTATGGCTATTCCAATTTGAACTGCAATTCCAGTGTATTCTTGATAATATCAGCATTATGAGAAGAGTATTGCCACATTAAAAATGAAATTTATTTAATTCTAGATTGGCATAGTGTCGTTCGTTGTATGGGGCTGTGAAGATGGATTTCCCCATGGATTCGCGCGTGTCACTTCGTTCTTGCCATGGATCTTATCTAGGCAATAGTTTTTGTTAATACGTACCTATCTAATAAATGTGGTCAGTATTTGAATATTTATAGTTTTATTTACCGACTAACTGACTTTGCGAACCGCTTAGGCCCAGAACAGACGGTGAAACGCAACTGCAACGAAACTGCAACTGCTAGTTACTTTTGAGTTGCATCTAAGTTTCTGCCATAGCGTCCGTTGAGAGACCACACATTACGCGACCAGTTTGAAACTTTCAGTTTCAGTTTCATTCATCATAATCATCACAAAGTTGTAGTTTCTTTGCAGTTGCGTTTCACCGTCTGTTCTGGGCCTAACTCATCAAAAATTGATTGAACCCCAAAAAAGGAACATGCTCCGACTGTTGCATTAAGCCTAGGCGCAGGTAACTGACTTTTAGATGGCCGATAGTTGGGCCCGATTCTAGTTTCTATGAAGAATCAGCCGATACCAAATCTATGTTAGTTTTTTTTTTCAAAGAGATAACTTGGAATTGTCATTCTCACTAAAATGTCTCTGGGGTGGTGGCGTAGTGAGGCGGGTCGTTACATTCCCTCTAATATGGTCGAGTGAAGCGATGGCTGGTTCACTCGTCATGTCTGTGAACAGGCGCTGCTTTTGGGGACTGGTCAATCCAAGTTATTCAAATTTATGTATGCGAGTCATTTCTACTAGTATCTTAATATGTAAGTCTAGATATTAGCACGTCACTACCTTGTTTAATATACCACGCAATCTTGTATACCCATTCTTATAAGATACACCATACAAGAATGCATGGTAAATTCAGTGAACTGCTCCTGAATCGAATGTACCTACTTCTACTATTTCTATTTATTTATATTAACCGGCAGACAGTGGTGACTGAGTTTGTTGCGGCGCTTCTTCTCAGCACTTGCCAAATGTTGGTCTCGAAGCGCTGGTAGGGTAAAAAGATTATGAGACATGTAGAGGCTCCTTAAGAGCAAAATGACGATTTGTAAGAACTATTTATTAGTCCAAACAAATAAAGAAATTTTGACTTTGACTTTGACTTATGTAATGATTTTTCATACATCTCATAATGATCAACAGCCCGACTCAACTATCGGCCAGCTAAAAGCCGGTGGTCTGCGCCTAAGCTAAAGGTCGATTCACCCTTTTTTTATCAGTGAAGTCACAGTTCCGACCCAGTACCGGCACAGTGATAATTATGATACATACGTAACATCATAATACAATGATAATATTATTTCGAAATATTTTATTTCTATTAACGCATTTCCACGTCACCGTCATACTAGTGTGCTTGAGTTTCAGAGACTAGCACTGCGAAAAAATACTTATCGAAACTCTGTACCTATCGACTTGGTATAATTGATTTTAGTGAGAGTCTATATTTTTTAACATAATTGTGATATCTTCAGGAAGTTTGAACTAAATATAAGATTGACTAAAACTTATCCCATCAAGTCGCATAAGTAACAATTTTGATTTCTATTGTCTTGATTCTTGAGGCTTGATGGTTCAACATTTTTGTAGTGAACCTATTCCTTTTAAAGGAATTTAAAGTATATTCTACATGATGGACGAACATTTTTGTCAATAGCAACACTTGATTAATTTCTCGGTTTGAGGTGGGGACTCGTGGTTGATGGGAAACTGTGCATAAATTCTTGAATTTTTGGTCATTATGGAGCGTTTCACGGGACAACAGCATGCTTTTTGTGTGATTTCTATATTGGACAAGGACCATCAATTTATACAAGTAATAAATAATATATTCTAAGTGATATTTATTAAAATAGTTTAATCTCTTGATAGAATCCAGGGTAAGAAAGAGGTCACGCGCGCATAGCCAGCTGGATGACCTCCCTCGCAGGCACCAGCTCCGAACGAAACAACACCAATCTGTAAATAGATACATTATCATTTCTATTGAAACCTTGATGAGCAAAATGAATGAAAAGTTAATGACAGATAGCAACAACCAAAAACACATTTCTTCTTGTGACTAAAATTTCCGAAGATCAAACCTTAATTTTCAGAAAATGTTATAGTCAAATTTTAATGTAGAAAATACTTTGAGGATTTCTTAGATTCGCAAAGTACTCAGAACATAAATAAGACTGCACTTTCGTCCCAAGTGAAACAATAGAAAAACGTGTCAGAGCAGTGTGCCTACCATGAGTTTACGTTAGGTGTGCTCGCTAGCGACTGCGAAAAAAAATGACATTTAAATGTATGACATATTGTGCAGCGCCCCTAGCGGCTACTTTCAAGAAATAAAATCTTCATATAATTTTTTGACGTATTCGCTAACGAGCTCACCTTACGTAAACTCATGGTAGGCACACAGATGTTAACAAAATATTGATAGGTATTTACCAGAATTTGGTCACTGCCGGTTCCAAGCGCAAGAGGACCGCCTGAGTCACCGAGGCAAATGTTAGTCCCGACAGGTCCTCTCGTGCAGAGAGTTGTGTCTACAATCATGCCAGGATAGATCGCATTACATTCCTGGTTCGGAATCACTTGAAGGTGAGCCTCTCTCAAGTCCGGATTGAATATGGGAGTCTGAGCTGAAAAAATTAAAAAAAGTTAACACTCCTGACTTAAAAGTACATAAATTCGTGTTTTTTTTCTGGCATAACCTACGCCAGGTAGTGTGGAGTGTGCACTTACTATCATATTGTCTTCCGTAGCCAACAGCTACCGCCCAAGATCCAGCAAAGTCGTTGTTTGCTTGATTTGTTGGTAGATTAATGGGCCTGATGATATCTGCAAAAGGCAAATAGAGAAATTATGATCATTTACATTTTCACTGTTTTTATTCATAAATATACCCATGAAATTTCAGAAAATCAAAAGGAGCACGTTATATACTGAAGTTGCTTTGTTTGAATACCGAGGGTACATTATGAGTGTGTTGATGAAAGCTACATCAACTAATGTTTTGATACGAGAATCACCAGACTAAGTGGCCTAAATTTTAGATTTGCTAGTAACCTTACCGTTAAAGTCAACCCAATCGTGTCTGACGATGGCGATGTCGTTGTGTAGGGTCATTGTGCTCCAATCGGGATGCATCTCGATGTCTTGGGTGTCGATACGCAAACCACCAGTATGCAGCGTCTGAGAGCCGAACACCAAGGTGAACAGGTACGCCGAGAGCCAGCCATCGTGCCAACAGTGTGCCGCCGTCAGAGAGCGTGTGTGCGTCAGGAGAGACGCGCCGCACATGGATGTGCTTGGACTATTGTGCAAATAGATCACGATTCCCACCTGAATTGATAAGGACACAGGGTTAAATTTTGTCAAGCACGAAATACGATGATGGAAGCTGAGAGCGTTCAAGTAATCCAGGTCTCATAATCCTACTTAATATTATAAATGCGAAAGTTTGAGTGGATGTCTGGATGTTTGTTACTCTTTCACGAAAAAACTACTAAACGGATTTTGATGAAACTTTACAGTATTATTGTTTATAACCCAAAATAACATATGGGCTATAATTTATGACGATCTGTGACAAACTAAATTTCACGCGAGTGAAGCCGCGGGCAAAAGCTATATTTAATAATGGAAAGAGCCAAAATTAAATGCAAATGGCGATCGTGCAAGGTGAAAGTCCAATTTTCACCCGATTACGCCAGAAGGAAGGTTATGTTTTTATGTTGCCTACATTACAAATATTAATCTATATACAGTGTGAGTCACGTTAAAGTGTACATATGAAAATAGATGAAACTAGACTTATTTTTATCGACAAAAAAGAGGTCAAAAAATTTTTGAGATTTTTTTTTAATTTTTTATCGAATTTTTTTTCTTCCAATTACCTATTGTAAAGAAAACGTAATAACTTTTAAACTAAGCGGTATATCCTGAAAAAAAAAAACAGTAATAATGCTAAATAATAAGCGATACTAAAAAATACATAAAATACACAAAAAGGCCAACAAATAATAAAAAATGATACTTTTTGAAAAAAATCTGCTTAAAAATTCGTGTTTTTTTGGTTATTTGATAAATTTCTCCAAAAAATGCCCCTATAACCGGTGGTTTTTATTACTTTGTATTATTTTCTATCGTATTACCTTCGTAAAACCAAAAATCGCATGTCCCTATCCCTATCACAACGTTTGCAATGATTGTTTGAACTAAGCCTCTCCGGGCGCGCCATTCAACGCTTCGTTAACAACGAAAATGAAAATGGCTCTAGATTTGTAATTTTGATAAAGACAAGTTAGATTTCAAATAAAAACAAAAGATTTCGAAGTAAAATAAGCTTTTTAGTTAAAATTAAATTTGTCTCTACCTATAGCGGAGAATAATGTTGTGGCAGGCCTTTGTTCAAACGATCATAGCAAATGTTGTGATAGGAATAGAGACATGCAATTTTTGGTTTTACAAAGATAATACGATAGAGAATAATACAAAGTAATAAAAACCACCTGTTATAGGGGCATTTTTTTGAGAAATTTATCAAATAACCAAAAAAATACGAATTTTTAAGCAGATTTTTTTCAAAAAGTCTCATTTTTTATTATTTGTTAGCATTTTCTGGGTATTTTATGTATTTTTTCAGTATCGCCTGTTATTTAGCATTATGACTGTTTTTATTTTATCAGGATATACCGCTTAGTTTAAAAGTTATTACGTTTTCTTTACAATAAGTAATTGGAAGAAAAAATATTCTATAAATAATTAAAAAAAAATCTCAAAAAATTTTTGACCTCTTTTTTGTCGATAAAAATAGGTCTAGTTTTATCTATTTTCATATGTACACTTTAACGTGACTCACACTGTATATAAAAGAAAGTCGTGTTAGTTACTTCGCTTATAACTCAAGAACGGCTGAACCGATTTAGCTGAAAATTGTCAGGGAAGTAGTTTAGAGCCAGGAGAAGGACATAGGATACTTTTTATCCCGTTCGAAATTAAAAAAAGTCTGCTTATTTATTGCCATTAAGGCGGAACAAAGTTCGCCGGGTCAGCTAGTCTATTATATAAAAGAAAGTCGTGTTAGTTACTCCACTTATAACTTAAGAACGGCTGAACCGATTTAGCTGAAAATTGTCAGGGAGGTAGTTTAGAGCCAGGAGAAGGACATAGGATACTTTTTATCCCGTTATTTATTGCCATTAAGGCGGAACAAAGTTCGCCGGGTCAGCTAGTATTGCTATAAAAACGATCCGTTCAATGAATGCTAAATGTGAACTCACCATAAAAGGGTGTTGGCCAAGAGGCACTACGGTACCCCCAACAATTCTCGAAGAATCAGCTGCAAGCTCCCGTTGCTTTATGCTTTCCGATAGTGGAATCCCCACCGACTCATGGTACGACTGACGTCCATTGAAAGGACCTGCTTCTACCGCCACAACCGCTACAAATACTAGCAAAAACCACTTCATTTCTGCCGAAAATAGTTTAGAAAAGTGTTCACAATATGAAATTCATAGTTTATATACATCGACCGCGATAGTAGTATCTTATCCGCGGTATATCTAATTAGGATTTCCCAAATTATTTACCTTTGGGAAATTAATTATTTAAGATAATTGTTATCAATCTTGTCACTCACGTCATGATAAACCGGTGAATAGTTTAAAATATAATCGACTGATTTATGATTGATACATTACTTCTGTCGTGAAGTGCCGAGTGAGTATACACAGTTCAAGAACCATTTTCGTGCATGAACATAATAATTCATTTGTATTCTTTCGTGTCGACAACAAACCTACACAGTGTCAGCCCAAAACTTCGCTACAAGAGTGGCGTTGTCAGCAGAATTCATTAAATTCTCCTGAGTGCAGTTGCTCGGGCAGTCAGGGCGCGACATCATGTGCTTCATCGACTGGAGCACATTTTGCTTGTATTGGTCTTGGTTTTTTCTATCTATGATTATGTATTTACAAAAAAAAATATTTATATCCGTTGTCTGCACAGATATAGATATACATAGATAACGCAAGTAGCACGATCTGTATTAAAACCAAGCGTGCCGACTTTTTAATACCTACTGTGACGTCACAGACAACATTTAGTGACGGGAAATCGTAATCGATTCAAAGATGCCGATGCCGCCGCTGCCCCAACGCACCGCTACGATCACAGAAATGGCATCGATTATCTGACAGACGAATGAGATACACAGACGAATGAGATATACAGACGAATGATATTAAACGGAATGTTTAAATAGATAATATTTTCATTGAATTCTAAAAGGCTAATTTTAGACACGATCCCGTATTAATAAAAACTTAAAATATGTTATTATTTACTTTAAATAGTGAATAAAATACATTTTAAGTTTTTATTAAAATATCAATATCTCGACAACGGTGCCTCGTAGATATTTTGTATTGCTCTTATAACATATCCAGCAATATTATGTGATTATTTGGTCACAAAATTCTGTTATTTGTGGCAATGTTTTATAAAAATCATCAAAATCACGTACACTACTTGTATTCATTTCTCTACAATCTACATCATCATCAGCAGATCATTATTTCTTATATGTATGTACACACATTATTATAAATACTTTTACATGAAAATACATATATCTATACTATACTTTTTCTAATTTTCTCTTCCTTGACAACAATAGAGGTTGTTGTGGTGTTTCTTTAATCCATTATCTTCATTTTTTTTAAATCGAAAACTAGGAAAAAAAGTCATAAATAAATACTACAAATACACATTAATTAGAATATTTATTTATATATGAGAGTTATTTTTTAATAATAAATTAGTATCATTCGTCTGTCCGATATCGATAAGAATCGATTTATTGATTAAAGTAGTAGAACGAACAACACTAGTAGCAAAATTTGACAGACGAATGAGAAGTTGCGTGTACAACGAAGTCGAAGCGATGCGCGACAGTGGCGCTTGTCCGTTATACATCGCCTCTAAACACATAACGTCAGATCAAACGCTCAAAACAAACCCGGCAATGTATCGTAAAAAATTGTTTGAATGGTAAGTTATAAGTTTTTAGGTACATTCTTGAAACCAACGCTTGTAATACTTAAAAAATTGTTTTAAAATGAATTAACACTCAATATTATATCAAAATAACTTACCCGTGATAGGAAATATGTCCTTGCCTTTGGGAGCTCGAAGTTTTTGGCTTATTGCAATTAATTATCACACATTGAGGCATTTTTCTAGTTTTCGCGGCCGTCCGCATGCAACAACAGACGCGCGTGGACTGTGAGCAGCGGCAGCTCATTCCGATGATTTATCGGGATCGGGACACGCGAAGTAGGTGCATTCGCGTTATCTAGGTATATCTATATCTGTGGTTCTCTGGTACCCATGGTACAAGCTTTGCTTAGTTTGGGACTAGGTCGTGCAGTGTAAAATTGTCCAAGGATATCTACCACAGTAGATTATAAATACTGTGTATTTACTCATTTTATATATTTGATTAACTATGAAGATTATCCCAAACTTGGTCAGTCATAATCTCATCATTTTGTATTAAAATAACGTTCTTCATGTGCGAGGGATATCTACAGAGTACTGAGGTTTGAATTAAAATGCAGTTGTTTCTTCTATTATTAATTTATTTATCAATATTTGGGAAACAAACAATCTTTATACACAGCTACAAAGTTATCAGCTACGATAGGCACCTGACGTAATTAAAACCTACTACTTATCTGTTAATCCATCCATTGACAGTGTTAGTCACTTATTCAATCATTTTTGAGCATGGTGATAAAGCACACGAAGTTTGAGATTAATGTGTATAGGTCAGTCAGGGATAAAAATGACGATTTTTGGATGTTAATACCTAAATAACCGTTTAGGATATTATGTTTATGAAAGTAGCACATTTCGTATCAAGCAAGTTTCAATAATGAGCCAAATTTAACTAGCGGCAGCCCGCAACTTCGTACGTGTGGTTCTCGTTTTACTCCCTTAGGAGTTGAATTTTGCAAAATCCCGTCTTAGTGAACACCTACGTTCTAAACAGAACAACCCCCAAGAAAAATTCAAGACTCCTAGCACTAATTGTAGTTTCTGAAATTTCGTGATGGATTACCGAGTGAGTCAGTCAGTGACCTTTCGCTTTTATAATATACATAATATCTAGATAGTTTTTGAGTTCAGGGGTCAAAAGTTCCAAATGGTTCGTGTAATATTACACACGGTGCTGCTCGCCAGTATCTGTTACTTGAACTTTACACGCTACCGCGTGTCTAGAAAAACCCATAAAGCTCTCTCATAAAACTCCTTTATTTTTGCTAGGCTTTGAAAAAGCATTAGACACATATTTTTTACATAGATTCTAAAGTTTTATCCGAAAATCTTTACCATAATTAATATGAAGAAGGATCATGAAATTAATATACGTATTTATATGTATAATATATTATTAAATACACGTGTTAAGATATTATTCAAACAATATTTACTAAAGTAATTTAGTTTCTTGATAGAATCCAGGGTAAAAACGAGGTCACTCGCGCATAGCCAGCTGCATGCCCTCCCTCACAGCTTATAGCTCCGAACGAAACAACACCAATCTGTAAATAGATAAGTTTTCTTATTAATTTTAATTCATTTTATCATATGATATTGAAACCATATTAAGAACAAATTAAAACAGAAAAAATATTTCTTCTTCTGGGCAAAATTTCGATGGATCAAACCTAAAACCAAAAATAATATCAAAGTATCAGAACATACGGCTTGAAGTAAAAAATCCTCGTCCATAAGTCAGTAGTAAAAAGGTTGTTTCTTCTAAATCAGATGTTAATCCTAATATTATATTATGCGAAAGTTTGTATGGATGTCTGGATGTCAACATGTTTGTTAACTTTTTCACGCAAAAAAACGGAACTGATTTTGATGAAACTTTACAGTATTATTGTTTATAACCCAGAATAACATATAGGCTATAATTTATCACGATCTGTGACAACTAAATTTCACGAGGGTGAAGCCGCGGGCAAAAGCTAGTAAAGTAATAAAAATTACCAGAATACGGTCATCGCCAGTTTCAAGCGCAAGAGGGCCGCCTGAGTCACCTTGGCAAATATTGGTCCCAATAGGTCCTCTTGTGCAGAGAGTTGAGTCTGCAACCAAACTAGGATACAACTGCCAACACACTTCGTTTGGCACCACCTGAAGATGTGCTTCTCTCAAGTCCGGATTAAATGTGGGAACCTGACCTAAAAAAAAATTATAAAAAGTTAATTTTGACACAGTCATGACCTAAATGTTGCTTTCGTCGAAATTAAGGATATTTGTTTTTGTTGAGAGACTTTACTGTTAGTTAGTTAATTTAGGTCCAGAATAGGTGAAACGCAACTGCAACGAAACTGCAACTGCTAGTTACTTTTGAGTTGCATCTAAGTTTCTGCCATAGCGTCCGTTGAGAGACCACACATGACGCGAACAGTTTGAAAGTTTCAGTTTCACTCATCAGAATCATCACAAAGTTGCAGTTTTGTTGCAGTTGCGTTTCACCGTCTGTTCTGGGCCTTAATGTTTAAAATTGAGTAAAAGTACAAAAATACCGTTTTATGCATGCAGTATGCACTTACCATCGAATTGTCTCCCGTAACCCACAGCTACCGCCCAAGATCCAGCGAAATCGTTGTTTGCTTGATCAATTGGTAGATTAATGGGTCTAGTAATATCTGCAAAAGATAAAAAGAGAAACTGTGATTCATCACTGTAAAGATAATTATGATAAGTTAATCATTATGACTTTATCTATAGTTCACTATCAAAATATAAAAATGACTGCAAAAATAAGAATGAATTGTCGCATTCCTTCTATACTGACTCACTGAATTAAATTAATGAAGTTGCTCTGTTTGAATCCCGTAAGGGAAGTATTATGAGTGTGATGATGAGAGTTAATCAGCTAGTGTTCTTGTACTAGAACTACCAGACTAAGTGGTCTTCAAATATTGGGTTTGCTGGTCAGTAACCTTACCATTAAAGGCAACCCAATCGTGTCGGACGATAGCGACGTCGTTGTTGAGATTCAATGTGTTCCAGTCGGGATGCATCTCAACATCTTCGGTGTCGATACGCAAACCGCCAATATGCAGCCTCTGGGAGCCGAAGACCATGGTGAACATGCGCGCCCAGCGCCAGCCGTCGTACCAGCAGTGCGCTGCCGTCAGCGAGCGCGTGTGCGTCAAGAGAGATGCTCCGCACACAGACGTGGCCGGGGTGAACAAGTGAATCACGATTCCCACCTAATAATAAGGGTTCATATTTAAAACGAAAATGGCTGAATGTTTGCGTTAGACTGGCCGAATCGAGTTGCGAGTACGTAGTACGTAGCCCACATCCAGCCATTGGTACTATAAGCTATTGATAATGGTGTATCATGAACTTCAATAACAACAGCCTAAAGTAGTCCAATATTTTCTTTGTTAAGATAATCCAGCATAACTCTCAAGATAAAACAGTGATTTAACTTAAAAAAACTTACCATGAAAGGATGCTTGCCAAGAGGCACCGAGGTGCCGCCGACAATTCTGCTAGAATTGGCTGCCAACTCAAACTTCTTCAATTGCTCGGACATCGGAATTCCCACTTTCTCGTGGTAGGACCACCGCGGTCCCTCAAAGGGAACCGCTTCCACTACAACTGCTACTAAAAAAAGTAACAAGCACCACTTCATTCTAGAAACTTTGCCTCCCAAGACCAAGTGAGTACTATAGTAGTGTGAATTTTGTATTTATATTGCATCAAAAACTGGTAATTATCTTATCCGTGAAGTGATAAGTAATTAGCGTTTTATTGATGAAAACTTACCTTTTTAGAGGAAATTGGTTTTTACGATTTATCTTGTCAAGATTTCGGTGTTTTGCCAATGGATTCCCCAATCAATAGTAAGGGAGAGTCCGGTAATTTGGACCAGTTTTTTTCAATCCCATTTTACACATATACTCAACATCAAATAAACCGCACCTTCCGCGACGCGAACTTTAACGATTTTCTTCTGACACAATCATGGTACCCCAACAATATTGGTGTTGAAAGCCCAATAAATATCCTTAAAGAAAAACACATTTAATTTCTTAATAAATTATTAACATATACCATAAATGTGACTTGAAAAAATACCTCACTTTGGGCCCACCTATGGGATCAATTAGACCAATTTTTATGGTTATAAAACCAAATAATGATTTCACGTGTCCTCTTTAACAGATGGATAGCAATTAAACCCAACTTAACAGTTTTATAGCCATAAAAGTTGGCTCTAGCGTAACTACCTATTTTTTAAAGAAGTGACTCTGGATCCTTCTAAAGACACATTTTTGGGGTAAAAACCTTTCCTTTAATGAAATGAAGGTTAGAACTAGGCTTTTACATAAATGGTACCAATATTGGTGGGAAGTGGGGATGCATACGTTTGAAAATGCTTGTCGCGGGAGGTGCGATATATTTGACGTCGAGTGTAGTTTTCTTTTGTTTTTGCTAATGTCCATGGTATATAATAGAAGAGAAATTATTCAACTTACTATTTCATAGGTATTAATTTTTTTTTTTTTTTAATTTACGAAAAATAAAATAAAATTTTATCCCGTACAAAATGTTCATGGATTTTGTTATTTTTATTAAATACCTTTACGCCTGAGTTAAATGACACCGACATCAAGGTTCATCAATTTAAGTTTAAAATAATAGGCAGTAATGTATGAAGAAAGAGCTTCTATTCTGTATCTACCTATGCCCGTGTATTTTTGATCGGTGTCAAATCGGAGTTTTTGGTGCGGGGTACGCGGGTGTTGCTCGCGGCGGGAAGGTCAAACGCCCAAGGTCATTGAGGACTCTAATCGCCTTAATTTCTAACTCCTCCTATGTTCTTCTGATTAATTTCGTTGCGGGTCCGATGACAGTTTAACTTTCCCCCGGGACAAACTTGACCTTCATTGGTTGGGTTTTTGTGGCGGTCAAGCTGTAGATCCTGGCTACACAGGAGTTGCAGTGGTGGGAATAGTCCCGTCCCCCGTCATCCAGTGTCGAGTTGGACGCAAAGAGTTTGCCCAGAAGATCGGCTTTCTCCTTTGCATCGTGGGCCAACGAACCGTTTCCCATGTGCAGGGGTGGAAATGATGGCGTGCAGAAATTTCCTTGGATAGCTTTGGCAAGAGACCAGAAAGCACGAGTTCCAGAAGGAAGACGCTCTAGCTTCCCACCAATTCTACCAATGTGCTCCGACTTCGCCCTTGCAATGACTCTTTTGAAAGACCTAGAGGCAAAGTTAAACTCCTTTTTTAATGCGCTGGTGTTTTCATCCCGTAGCCTCGCTGCATTTGCCCAGGTTTGGTCGGATTCCTGCTTCCGGCGTAAAACCTTTTTGCAGGATTGACTAAACCAAGGCTGAGATTTGCCACCAATGGGAACAACAGAAGACGTAAAGTATGAAAAGTTCCATACCCTGCAGCACCACATCAGCAACAAGATCAGCAACGACGTCAATCCCAGATCATCCTGCGTGAAGCAAACCTGCCTCCAGGGGTAAGATGCGAAGAAGGACCGCATGTCATCCCAGTCTGCTGACCTGTAGTGCCACACGCGGCGACTGCATGCAACTCGTGGTCGCGGCGAGCACGTGAGTGGCACCGTACTCCGGATAAGGCAATGGTCCGAGGAGCCCAGAGGGGCGCCAACGGATAGCTGATAGCCACACACACACACACACACACACACACACACACACACACACACAAAACCTGTCATTTCCTATATTGCGGCCATGTTGTTTTCTTAAATCGTGTATTTATATTGTGTGTAAGTGTGTGCGTAATGTTATGTGTTAGCGGCAATTTGTATTATTTAGGGATTCTATACAATCCCTAGTAAATGTGTAAAATCAATGCCTGGGGCGCGTAGGCAATGTATAAAATATTATTGTTCAATAAATACTTTACCTAGGCAGGTGTATGTAATTCCTAGGCATTGTATAGAATACGTCCAGCTGGCCCACCGGTAATGTGTAAAGTAAACAGATTTTGATCATTATTATTTACATTTTTTGGTCGCCATTTGACCCCCAGAGGTAGCCTAAATGGCGATAATTCGCCTAATCTGGCACCACTGGTCCGTGGACCTATTTACGTGCCAGAAACAGTCTAGTTGACATGTCTTCTCTAGTACGTAGTACATTATAACTCAATGTAGGAGATTAACTTTTTTGCAAGCTACTTTAACTCTATTTATTTAACATTTACAATGGTAAATGACATTTTACAATTAATTTGAGGCTGGAAAAATTCAAAGAAAGGAATCTAGCACCTTTGTGATACTTTTACTTCTAGCTAGGTGGAGATTGAGTTTTAGTTCAAGAGTTTATCAGAAGCAGCATTTTGTAATTATTGCAATGGATTTGAGGCGAATCTTGCGACAGTTTATAATCATTAACTGCAAAATCTAAGTGCTCCCACAGTCCCACCCACATTTAATTATTACATTACCTACCTTGTAAAATAACCATTACTTACTTACCTACTTAGGTAGGCAGTCAATAGTACATCNAAAGATAAGACTGATGTGTGTGACCTCCAATGATAGGAATTGAAAAGTTATGTAAGAAAATGCGCTACCCTTGGTGACAATGGGACCACCTCAGAAGTGTACCCTATCGAACAAAAAAAGAATTTATAAATCGGTCTACAATGAGGGTGTTTGCGATTGAAAAATCCGCCAGGTGGCAATACGTAGACGCAAGGTCCAAATGCTGCATGATTGGTTATTTTTGACATGACATTGACAGATGTGTCAAAATCCACCAATCACGCAGACCGTACATCCACGTCCCGCCATCTGGCGGATTTTTCAATCGCAAACACCCTCATTGACGGAGTAATCGGTGAACATAGGCATAGAAAAAGAAAGATACCTACATACAGTCAAACATTATTATAACCTCCTTTTTTTGAAGTCTGTTAATAAAAAAAGTTGATCGTTTTAAATATTTAAAACTAGGTTTTGTCTGATAATATCTAACTAAACTATGTTGAAAACTCAGAAAATCTCTAAATTACTTGTTTTGTCCATAAATTACTAATAGACCCGTTAACCCCTCGTAGCTAAATAATAATGCTTGTGTTCCAAGTGGGCTTAGTCGAGCGGGCGGGATTCGAATCCGCGTTCCTCGGTTAGTCCGACCCCTTCACCGTTTGGCTTGTGTAAAAATTAATTCATTGTCTTGCACTTTTGATCAGCCATCGTGTAAAAAAAATGTAGGAAAATTTGTATTTAATGCCACTATGCAGTCCTAGTTTAACTATTATGAGAAAAACTCATTTTTGCAGTTTTCATATTAGTTGCTATTCAAGTAGCCATAAGATAAAAATAATACAGAATACATAGGCTTGTGATACCTTTTTAGAATCTCAATTAACCAAGGAAGTTTTTAAGGTAATGGGCACGATGGTCTTCCTACATTTTTTTAACACGATGGCTGATCAAAAGTGCAAGACAATGAATTAATTTTTCCTTCTTCTCTGCAATTTCTTAAAATTATGTATCATTATTTTAGTACCAAATAAATATTTTTTCTTTCTTTCTTTCTTTCAAATTTTCATACTTGTAAACTAGTTTGTTGAACTTTAACCTTTTTTTTGATAGCCCTACTTATTAGTTATCTGTGGCCAGCTGTGGCCCTACTATCCCTTGTGATAAGGAAAAAAACTAGATTGAAAAATATCCTCATTCGTAGAAATGACTTACTTGACTTATGGTCCTATTAAGGCTTGAATACCGGAATTCCGGAATTTCGTAACTCCGGAATTTCGGATGCATTTTTTCCGATATTTCAATTCCGGAACTGAAGCCAATATCGTATTCCGATATTGAAATTTTACATAAATTATTTTAAGTTTTCAAAACGTTTAAGTATCAAAAGGTTAGGTTCTTAGATAAGGAAGTCCTTGAGATTATATGTATTCGCAACTGTATTAGTAATAATATTAAAGAGGCAATAGGGCGAAACCAAAGCTCCAAAATGTTCGCTAGAGACAACTCTAATGGGCGAAGCCAGCTCAAGAGAGCGGATGATAGAGTAAAACCTGTTAATAGCTCAGCCACAGGACAGTTCCAACAGCTAAGCTAACTCGACACTATACCGAAGATTAGCCGGACATCAGCCCTTACGTGATTAGGATGGCTCTCAAACAGCTAAAGAACAACAAGGCACCGGGTGATGACGGAATAACCTCGGAGCTTCTGAACGCGGCAGGTGATAAGCCGATACTGAAAATCCTTCATAGACTGTAACTCCGTCTTACTCCAGGGAATAATGCCAGAGGCACGGAACAAATGCTTGGTGGTGTTTTTCTTTAAGAAAGGGGTAAAAGCCTTATTAAGGAGAAAGGAGAATTACAGACCCATCTGGGTTCTGACTCTGAGTCATGTCTACAAGCTGTTTTTGAGAGCCATCACGAATAGTCTCGCGCGTAGGTTCGATGACTTATAGTCTCTCGAGGAAGCCAGTTATCAAAACGTTTACACTACCATATACCGCATCTATACGCTACGGCAGGTTATACAGAAGACCGAAGAGTCTAACTTGCCTATATGCTTGGTGTTCTTAGACTATGAGAAGGTCTTTGAGCCTGGCTGAACACGAGGGCGATTCCTCTGCGATTCCTCTGCAGCGAGCTGTGAGGCAGGGAGATGTAATAATACGTCGAATTCAACTCGGCTGGGCAGCGTTCGGGAAACTACATAACATCTTTTCGACCAAAACACTTCAGTGCCTAAAGACGAAAGTCTACAATCAGTGTGTGTTACNTCTACAAAGGTTAGGTAGACTTCCCTTTGCCATTCTGATGCCTGCTCCAAAATGATACGCAAAGTATTGATCTGGTCGGTACACGAGCGGTTCGGGCGGAAGCCAGCCTGTTCCCTACGCAAAAGAGGTTCAACGGCCCCCGATAACCTATCCAAGATAATCTTGCAGAAAACCTTTGACGGTATCGAGAGCAAAGTGATACCTCTCCAATTGCTACACTGGCTTAGATCTCCTTTCTTTGGCACAGTAATTAAAAGCCCCTTATTCCAGTCGTCTGGGAGTTCCTCTTCCATCCAGATGTTTTCGATGAGAGATGTCAGAACGTCGGCGGCGGAGTTTACGTCGACTCTCAGCATTTCTGCGGTGATAAGGTCGAGTCCTGGGGCCTTGCCAATCTTGAGGGACAGGATAGCTTTGGTCACTTCGTCGTGTGATGGTAGTAGGTAGTGTAGGTACGGCATTCGTAGAAATGGCACGAGGTAATCGCAGGTGGCAATTTTCTAAAAATGCACAATACCTTAAAAATCTTGAAAACAGTGATATTTTTACTGGGGTCAAAATTGGACGTTAGGGAGACCATGGCGAGGCCTATCGATGGTTACAGGGTTATCCATTGTTTTTGGGACACCCTGTATAAGGGTAATTTTAATTTTCTTCCTGATGGTCCAAGCGTTCGCAGTTCGTTCACAGACTGAAACTTTAGGCGCATCGCATCATCTTCTGTCTGGAGTCTGGACTCTCAAACTCATCACAATACTCTTGGTCGCTTCTTCCTCTTCATCGCTATCTTAAAATGGATTTTTTTTATCCACGACGAGGAAGCTCTTAGCCTGCATCTCACCAGGCCAAAAGTAGAAGCCAACTTCACTCGGAATCCTTAACCACAGAGGAACTGGCTACTTATCTAACCACCAACAAACCCGAACAGAAAAATCTGCTTTCACTGGAAATCGAACCCGGGACCTCTGTGTCTACACGTGATGCAGCACACAAATCTACACTTCCATACTTAACTTTGTTATAAATTTTAATAAATGACTAGCAGTACCTTATTTCCTGGTTTTGCAAAAAAATTCGCTCTGCTCCGCTCCTATTGGTTTTCAGTTTTAAGATTTGTCCCTTCTTAAGTTTTTTTCATTACGCGAAACATATTTATTTTTATTTTATTTCGCATCAGGTGAGCTCGCCACATATATTTTGTAAAACGACGCAGCTACGCTACACCGCTCGGCGCGCCCACACGGCCGCAATTCGGTAATTTTTACCAGATATCTATGTACCTTAGTTGTAAAAGGGACAATATTATTTGATCCTCTAAAAACTAATTGATCTTTTTTGTATGTGCACTTTTAAAAATAAACGATGTTTTTTATTATATTTTATCTTTATATTAATTATTGGGTCTATATTAGTTGATCTACGGATAAATTATGAATGATCTTCATTTAAGGTAACATAATATTTATGTTTAACATACTCTTTTAATATTTAGTAAACAAAAATAATATTTGATCCTCTTTTTTAGTTATTGATCTTTAATTTTGTTAATTTGATGATTTTTATATCAAGTTTGCCTTTTAATATTGATCACCTAATAAATACATTTCGATCTAAGTATAACTTAACTTTAAAATATATTTGATCTAACTAAAAATATTATTGGTTAATATTTTTAATTAAAAAATATCTTTTAATTTACGCGGTACTTTGTGGTTGAGTGACAATCGTCCGTCGTTGGTCGTTTACTGAGTTGGCCAAGGGCTTAGCGGCCAATAAGCAAGCAGAATGGTACATTGCCATGTTTGTTTAAATTACAAGCTTTGCTTAGTTTGGGACTAGAGGCGCTATGTAAAATAATTTCTTNTTTAAATACATGCCGTTGTAAAAACTCCTAGTATATTTCCAAATCGAATTATTGTGAAATACCTACTAGATTAACTATCGTTTGACTATTTACCATCGATCATGATTGTCTGCATTCATGATCATCAGTATCGATGGTTGTCCTTGCCATCCTTTGTTGCTCACGCGCTAAGCACAAGTATTTGATAAGTGGGATCGTTTGCCGCTCACTATGTCGACAGAGCGTGTCGGTGCGGTGTCTCAGTGTGCCTTGACACGCGTGCTTGGGCGACTGCGGCTGTAGTTTTAAACCTTGTCGTGTGATCGTGCGGTTAAGCAAGCCCGCGGTTCAACAGCTGAGAATCCAAACATTGTTGCTCAACCAACAAACCTTAATCACTGGATGCTAATGTGAGTAGTTTTTGACAACATTTTTAGTTAAATAAACCATGTTTTTTTATAACTTTACTTAGTTACTTTTGATTGAGCGAAATCTTACAAAACTTTTAAAGGGCGTCCGTAACTTACGAAATCAAATTCACGACAGAAGACTTATTTTCTCTTATAATATCATAGGCGAATGTTGTATTGACTAATAGATAGAAGAGTATTCTCGACGTCAAAAGACTACTTTTTCTATAATTAACTTTAAATTTCTCACAAATTCAAAAGGTACGTTTTATGTTATTTTTGTCTTTTGTTATGGTACTTTCTGTATTTTAACACTTAGGCACCCATTTATTATGAAAATTATGAAGGTAGGACAACACAAATTAGTCTAATTGAATTTGTTAATACTTAACAGAACAAAGTTATTCAACAGCGATACATTAATTAGTTACAAGAGAGGCTGTAAAGTTTAGCATAGTTACTGTAACTGATGGTTATTTCAAGATATTGCGTAAATCCAATGTTATGCTAATAGTAAGTAAGGCACAATTAATTACAATTTCCAATTAATCTCGTATTTATTAAACAGTATTTAAACTACAAAGAGATCACGCTATGCATTTCGGTTGAATCAATGTTTTATTAAGGCATTGTATTAAGATGAATGGTTATCTAAAAAGATGCAGAGGAGGCTACAATCTTGTTATCGTTTTTGTTCAGTTTCCATAACACTATTTTGTACTTTAATAGGTGACTAACACACAAAAATAACAATATTAACCAAAAACAATGGGCAACACAAAAAAGCTTTCCCATATTAATTAGATACCTAACATTTGACTATCGAAGTGCAATTTTTTGTGGAAATCCGGCTATTGAAAGATGCGAAGAGATGATCAATGTGGTTTTGTCATGTTGTGGTCCCATCCCACTAATAGTTCTTGCAACTCACGAAGGCGAGTGAGCTATACTTGTTTGTGTACGTCTACGTGTACATACACATTACGATAGTGTATCAAAACTTTTGAAAAACTAACAATAGCGAACCACCACACATGTAAAGCTCACTCGTCTTCGTGAATTGCAACAACTAAGTAGGTATACCTACCTACTTATTAAATATACTAATAATTAATGAAATTTTAACCATCTTTAGCGAAGACGTATAGAATACGAGAGACAACATTTTATAAAGGTACCTAGGAGTAGGTATTAAGAAAACCTGAAAAAGTTAGCACAATTTTACTTTTTTTAAGAGTAGGCGCACACCGTTGATTTTTAGTTGGCCGATAGTTGTGCCCGATTTTAATTTGTATGAAGAATCGCCCTAATTGAATCGGCGTAGTGTGCGCACTCCCATACATGCCCATACTGATCAACTGCCCGACTAAACTATCGGCCGACGAAAAATCAACGGTGTACGCCTACTCTAAAGAAGCAGGCTTTAAAAAACCTGCTTTTCAACCGACTTCAAAAAAGGAGGAGGTTCTCAATTCGACCCGTGTTTTTTTTTTAATTACATTTTACTGGTACAAAGAATTTTCTTTTAAAAATAGATGTTTTATTGCTTTCTCAGATTCATATTGTAGTTAGGTATTCATCATTTGGTAGGTAAATACTCGTATACATCTCTAGATTTACAATGTAAGGTTGATAAGGACTTTTACTTTGTTTAATTTATCGCTGATAAGCCTTAATTTGAAATTATAACACCTTTGAGCACCTATGCTAGCACACGGATGTTTATCATTTCGAGTAGGTAGGTAATTGTGGTTTCTCCAATACTTACTTACCTACTTAAATTGTAATAAGTACATGTTATAGTAACATGTATAATAAATTTTAAAGGTACTTACCTACCAATACATAAGCTAAGTATTTAAATTTTGCCCGCTGCTTCGCCCGCGTAAGGCACATTTTAAGGCTGAGTTGCACCACCTTGTTTACTTTTAACAGTAGGTACCTAGGCGCAGACCACCGACTTTTAGTTGGCCGATAGTTGAGCCCAATTCTAATTTGTATAAAGAATCGGCCTATACCAAATCAGTGTAATGTGCGCACTTTCATACATCTCCATACAGATCAACAGCCCGACACAACTATCGGCCAACTAAAAATCGGTGGTCTGCTCCTTGGCTAACTATAACCATAACCGGTGGTTTTTGTCTTTTTGTATGGAGTTTAACTTTTACAAACGTCAAAAATCTGTCAAAGTAAGACGGTGCGATTCAGCCTAATTGTCGCGCGCGTGTCTTCTTAAAAAACTGGGATTAAAACCGTCCTTTTTTTTCCTGGGTCTCAAGTATCATGTAGTTCCGTTCAGTGGTAACAGCGTGAAAAGGTGATAGATAGAAAGGTTATTTCGCATTTTATTATAAACTAGTTGACCCGGCGAACTTTGTTCCGCCTTAATGGCAATAAATAACGGGATAAAAAGTATCCTATGTCCTTCTCCTGGCTCTAAACTACCTCCCTGACAATTTTCAGCTAAATCAGTTCAGCCGTTCTTGAGTTATAACTGGAGTAACTAACACGACTTTCTTTTATATAATAGATAGATTTATGGCGAATGACATCATTGGTCTTGATTGGCATCTCGGTTTTGTCCTTTTTTACCCGACTGCGCCAAAAGAAGGGTTATTACAACACATCTGGTGTAGTCGAGGGTCTCTTGGAAGTCTTGCTCCAACGTCTGCCCGCCACAGACCGTAGACGTTGTTGAATCAGTTCAGTCATCACTCTAATAGTGTTTTTTCTTCCATGGAAAGGTTTTTCTTCAGGTTCACTCAGGCTACGATCTTTCTAAAACAAATTTATTTACTTAGGTAATAAAATATACATACTCCTGCTTTACTGTTTAAATAAATCGTTTTATGAGTGACGACAGAAAACACATTTAGAAAATTGATGGACTCGCAAGCTAATAACTATCAAAAGGCTTACAGGGAAATCTTCAGGAATCGCTTCAATCTTTTCTAAAATGTTCATCTCTACACTTTCAGCAATTTCATTGACATCTGAAGTATCTTCAGATGAGGAACTGGGTACCTGAAAATGTATAAGAACCTTTTCAAATCATAGATACTTATGTATTAACTAGCTGTGCCCGCGACTTCGTACGCGTGAAAACCCGTTTTCGCAACATTTTTCATTGTTGCTCTGCTCCTATTGATCGTAGCGTGATGTTGTATAGCCTTCCTAGATAAATATGCTATCTAACATTGAAATAATTTTTCAAATCAGACCAGTACTTAGTTCCGGAGATTAGCGCGTTCAGGTAAACAAACAAACAAACTCTTCAGCTTTATAATATTTATTAGTATAGATATTTTATAATATTAGATAGATATAGATACTTTACTTTTAGGAGTGCCTACTCCTATTAAATTATGTAGGTATTTACCCATTTATCAGAGAATTCAAATGTTACCGGTATTATGGAAGCCCTTTTTGCTCTTTGAACCTCATATGGTGCGAAGTCGGGCGCGGTGAACACTGGTTCGATGATGAGTCGATTGTCCTCATTCGAATTAAAAATGAAGAAGGAGTTTGCCAAGGGTGGAAGCCACCGCATCATCAAGTGGCCGGCAGCCAGGGTCGCGCACAGAAGGACTGCCAACACAGCTACCACGGGGGCATAACCAATACGTTCCACTGGCAGCTCGCAATCCGTTTTGCGTTCGTCGAACCTTCGAAAACAATAAAAATATTATTAGGGCTGGGTTGCACCGTCTCTTTGACTTTAACAAACGTCAAAAATCTGTCAAACTCCATACAGAATATACCGGTTATCGTTATAGTTTCGGTCAAAGTTAGGTGGTGCAACTGAATGGTTTCATTCAGTGGTTCCCCGAAACTAGAATAGAATCTGCTTTCGGATGCCGACATCTTTTGGACTATTGACTATTGCTTGTCTTGAGTATAGGTAGATAACCGTAAGTGCGTTTTGATATGAATGATCATTTTATCTCGTCTGTGGAATTACCATAACGTCTACTACGTTTATCTCACAGATATTTTATCTACTGAAAGATTAAATGTACTCATCGAAACTAATGTCAAATCAAGTGAAGTGATACACGTCCTAAGATCATATTATACCCACAATACATACTTACACCTACAACGTAATAAAAATCAATATGACAATGTGTGAATAATTCGGTTTTGTTAGGTAAAAACTGGTATTCAGACATGTTTTATCAAAAGGTGACACTAAAACAGGACATTTCCTATATTATGAACCGCCTTAATTAAAAAGGAACAAGATACGAGATGGAGACTTATACATATAAACAACTAGTTTGTAGTCGGACGAATTCGGGAAGCTTCGCCATATACTCATGTCCGAAATACCGCAGTGTCTCAAGACGAAAGTCTTCGAGCAGTGTGTGTTGCCAGTGTTGACATATGGATCCGAAACGTGGTCGCTTACTATGGGCCTCATAAGAAGGCTCAAGGTCACCCAAAGGGCGATGGAGCGGGCTATGCTCGGAGTTTCCCTGCGTGATCGAATCAGAAATGAGGAGATCCGTAGGAGAACCAAAGTAACCGACATAGCTCGCAGAATTGCTAAAATCAAGTGGCAGTGGGCGGGGCACATAGCTCGTAGAGACGATGGCCGTTGGGGCAGGAAAGTTCTCGAGTGGCGACCACGGGCTGGAAAACGTAGCGTGGGCAGGCCTCCTACTAGGTGGACCGACGATCTGGTAAAGGTCGCGGGAAGAGCCTGGATGCGGGCAGCGCAGGACCGGTCATTGTGGAAGACCTTGGGGGAGGCCTTTGTCCAGCAGTGGACGTCATTTGGCTGAAACGAATTGTACTATTCGTTCTACGTACACTTCTGCCAAGCTAAGTGTCGGCCAAATCATCGGGTGCCGGCTGCGTGCGTGATGGCGATCAGATGTCGTCATGTCGTGTATGAATTTGAAGCGATGAGTTCACACTTCACATCAACGCGTGCAACGCGTCCTGTCATTGGTCATGGCGATTTATGCATGCTGTTATTGCACGCGTTGGTTTGGCCAAAGCTTTACAGCAAATCACTTGGTATCTTTGTTTTTATCGGGGAAAAAATGCATTGAATTGTTATGTGGGACTCACCAAGTACCAGTGATAACTTATGGCTCGGAAACGTGGCCTCTCACTATAGGCCTTATACAGAAGCTCAAAGTTGCACAGCGTGCTATGGAGAGGGCTATGCTTGGTGTTTCTTTGCGAGATCGAATCAGAAATGAGGAAATCCGTAAACGAACTAAAGTCGCTGACATAGCCCGATGGATTAGCAAGCTGAAGTGGCAATGGGCAGGGCACATAGTGCGCAGAACTGACGGCCGATGGAGCAGCAAGGTTCTGGAATGGAGGCCGCGTACCGGAAGGCGCAGCGTGAGACGTCCACGTACAAGGTGGACCGACGACATCGTGAAGGTAGCAGGGAAGCGCTGGAAGCAGGCCGCTACCAGGGCCGTAACTAGGGCGGTGCCAGCGGTGCCCAGGCACAGGGCGCAGACCCTGGAGGGGCGCAGAAATGACCAGACCAGTATCTAGTTTTGTTTCATGCATGGTAGTTAGTAGGTACATTTTGTTTTATTGCGAATATGGTGTAGACGCGCCCTCTGTACTATCTATATCTATATGGCATTTTTCAAGCGATCTTGAAATGTCAGCAACACTTGTAAAGGTGGTTTTATATTTGTCTGATGTGTCGTGACGTGACGCATCAGAACGGTATCGGTTCCATACATTTAGTACTAGCTGGTGCCCGCGACTTCGTCTGCACAGAATTAGTATTTCGAACAATATGTTTATAAATTGTAGCCTATGTGTTATTCTGATGTATAAGCTATATTATTGTAAAGTTTCATTAAATTCCATTCAGTAGTTTTTGCGTGAAAGAGTAACAAACATCCATCCATCATCCATACAAACTTTCGCGTTTATAATATTAGTAGGATGGTAACGTTCACACTAGTGAGTAACGTGTTGTGTTGTGATGTCTTATGTATGGAACCGATACAGTTCTGACGCGTCACGTCACGACACATCAGACAAATATAAATCCACCTTGTCTTGCTCGCAATGTTACATACACAAACAAAAGTAGCTATACCGTAACTATGAGACAATGTCTGTCTATATTCATTTGGAGGGCGCCACTTCTAACTTAGAAGTTCTAAGCAAATCTGTCAATCTAGCTGAGGAGATGTACATATAGTTCACGTTACGCTGTCATTGCTGTCAGCCACATTCATTGGTCCTCCCTTTATCTTTGATTTTTCATTAACTACGTGCGGCGTTACTGACGCACTAGCGTACGAGAGATAGATAGAAAATTCATCGTTCGACAAGAGTGAAAAGGATGACTTACAAAACTAAAAGATTCACATACGTTCCATTCTGCCGCGCCGTCCCACCCAATGTTCGGGGATTCCCCGATACATCGAGAATCACGCATTCAGATAGCCGCAATGTTGCCAGAAGGTTACTTTTGTAACCTTTTAGGTTACTTTTGAACTTTTAGGTTACACTAATGAAAAGGTTACTTTTAGGTGATTTTTCAGAAATTGTTTACAGAATTAACTTTTACAGGTTATTCAGTAAAAAATATTAATAGTGACAATTTACCAATCGATCAATGTGGAAAGCATTAGGGGAGGCCTATGTTCAGCAGTGGACGTCCTATGGCTGACATGATGATGATGATGATGATGATGACTCACCAAGTCAGAAGGACAATGCATACCCACTAAAAAGACCCCGGTGCTCCGTGATTCGCCTTAAGTGGGAAGAAACTGTGGAATTCTGGACAAAGCCTTTTCACTACACTACCACAGTCCAGTGGCGGCGTAGCATAGATTGGCACCCGGGGCGGCACCCCCCCCCNATCTGCGCGACTTTGTCACCCCCTGATGCTTGGCACCCGGGGTCGACCGCCCCCACCGCCCCCCCCTTAAGCCGCTACTGCCACAGTCCCTCCCGGAGATCGCCGTGCAGGGCCCCCCACAGGGCGACGGGAACAGCAAGGAGCACACAGCTGTTCCCGTCCGACGGTGGTGGTGGCCTGTGCAATGCAGGCGAGGGGAGGGCGCCCCCACGCCTTCGGCCGGCTGGCTATCACCGAGGAGAGGAAACTGAAGGCGCGTTTGGATCATCTTCGCGCTATCGCTCCGCGGCCTCCTTCTGTGATATCACATCTTCGCAGAAAGAGGCCATTCCCGCCAAATCACTAGGTACCTAGACAAAGCCTACCTTTATTGACGTGTTTATGTAAGTGGAAGAGATAAAAAAATGGACCAGCAACCAAAGCGAATAGGTAGTTATGCTCCCACTGCTAATCGAACCCGGGACCTTTGGGTCTGAAATGTCTAGGAAGTACCTATTTGGATAGATATAGTTTTTGGTGGTAATGGTTGTGTAGAACCTGGCTACACAGTAGTTGTAGCGGTGCACCGCTACAACTACCGCTTCAGTTTCCTCTCCTCGGTGATAGCCAGCCGGCCGGGGGCGTGGGGGCGCCCTCCCCTCGCCTGCATTGCACAGGCCACCACCACCGTCGGACGGGAACAGCTGTGTGCTCCTTGCTGTAGGGCTGTAGGGCCCGCCGTGCAGGCGGGCAATCTCCGGGAGGGACTGTGGTAGTGTAGTGAAGGCTTTGTCCAGAAGTACACTCCTTTCGAAGTCAATTCCTAAACGAAACGGTGGAAACTTATCAAGTTTGGGTTTGCTGGATTTGTCTTTTCGAGCACTTTGGTGCTAAATTGTATTGTAATTGAACCAAGGCTCTGAGATTGAGATACTACTAGAAAGTGTAAATTAAAAAACTTTTTTTAAAACAAGCTTTTATTCTGAAATGCAGTTGTTTGTACTAAAACGAAAAAAATAATTGCACTTATGCAAGGTTCAAATAATTACGAAAGCTTGTAGCATAAAAATAAATTCCACGCGCGATACAAAAGCTTTTGAAATTATTTGAACCTTGCATACAATTATTTTTTTCGTTTTATTATCATGTGTTAACGGATTAACGATTAACGTTAACTTGCGGTAAATCTTGCGAAATGTAACGTTTTAACGTTTAACGAAGTTAATTTTTTTATTAACGGTTTAACGATTAACGAAGTTAACTATTTGATTAACGGTGCCCAGCTATGGCGGTGGGAACGAGAGCTGGGAATAGTCCCGTAGTACTCGTAGTTAAAAATTAAAATTTTTAGATTAATCACACGCGGTTTTATATGATTTTCATTTTAAATACTAACCAGTCAGTTACTCCACAGTTTTTGATACCATCGCAAACGACTCCGCTGGTGAAGCAGTATTCGTCTTCGGATATAACGCAGGTGGACTCATTTTTCAAATCGCAGCCTTTGCGGGGTTTCTTACGAGCCGATGTAGCCGTAACTTGATATAAGTTCGCCTGTTCATGACAAAACTATTTTATTATTATGCAACAGCTTTTGTTAGTTGGTTATAGGTAGATCTTGCTGGCGTTGATACATACTCGTACCTATTTGGTGAGTGAGTGTTTAAATGTTAATTAGGTATTTAATTTTATTATCTATTTTACCCAATACCGTGACGAAGATAATGCAAATAACTAGCTACTTAACACCTTTACTTTTTTACGCGTTGATAAGATCGAGCGTCAATATTTACAGACTTCAGCTAAGTAATTCAACCTAGGTAAGTATGTTAGAGCGTGTTTTTCGACTTTTTAGCTAACATCGTATTTTTAGATAACGTAAATACTCGTAGTAATGGGTATATTAATGAATGAAATTACTTTTTAATTTGAGTAGTTAGTTTTAATTTGTATTTTTTATTATCGTTATGCACATTATGGATATAGGTAGGTATCGAAGCGATTAAGATTGTGCTATATAGGTTGGTAGTGACACGGTTTAGTAAGAGAGAAATTTGCTGCGATGAGATCTAATTTAGTTTATAATATTTATCGCGAACGGTCACAAAATGAGGAACTGAACTGGAATATTTTGACAATCGACCATTCTAATTGAGAGTGGTCTAGCGTGTTTATAAATAGTTAACGTTGTATTTGGTGTTTTTTTTTCGACTATTCCGGTATTGAAGCCTACCGTTAGAGACTTTATTAATTTGTATTTAGCTTTTAAGCCACCATACCTACATATAAGAAGCGCAACGCGAAGTTAAAAAGTAGGTAGATAGTTATGTGTAAGTAATACGTTTAATATGAAATTATTTATTTACATTCCCACAAACATGTCGCCTTTCACGAATTGACCTTGCCTGATAATGTCTCGTTTTCTTAAGTTCTACTCACTTATTAAACAGTAAATAACAGAACTAAATAGGTACCTACCTATATTAATAAACTTGTTGAAATACATTATTAAAACCTTTGTTGCTTATAGAGCAAATGCATTATGAATTTATGTAGCAGTTTCTGCCTACTTATTATTTAAAATCAGTGAACTGATGGGATTCTTAACGGCGACTAACATTGTCTGCATTTCCGTACTTAATAGATAAATAAATGAATAAAGGAAACTATGATTTACCTTAATCAAAGTGCAAAATCAACTTACGTTCATGTCAGAGTTAATGCTGCTGTTACTAAGAAATCGGAATCTGATTCTCTCCTTTACGGATATGATGAAGTATGGAGAATTTGTGTCCCTCTCTCCCACCAGGTCACAAATGCGAAGGCACTTGTTTTTCTTGAGCACGGTGAAGGCGTCTCCATTCATCACACAGTTGTCTCCGATTGGATTTGGAAACCTTATCACGACGAGTAGTGACTCTTTTTCGGTAACGATTTCAATTAGACACTCGTAATCCATCTCGTTTAAAGTCCTGAAAACCTGAAAACACACCAATTTTTTGGGGGCTTTTATTATTTTTGTACTTGTCTATATGTATTTTGATTCCAATACCTAACTCTACGGATTGTTCAACTTCAACGTGCAACCACACCACACCTCATTATTGACAACAAAATTATTGCAGTAAGGCACTGCTTTAGTTTTTTACTAGGATTAGGATTAAGATGTTGTGGTTTTAGCTCTTTTATAAAAATTACAAAAAGACCTAGCTAGAACTACTAGTACTTATTTATTATAATATCTGTGCTAGAACGTAAACTTATGCAACCAGCGATTTGATAATTGTTAAGAAACTACTTACCTACTTAAGCTTATGCAGCAGCTGCACAATTACCCATTGTTTTCCCTCGAAACCATGAAATTATTAAGATTCTGATGATATAAAAAGGTTGTTAAGGAGGATTATTTTTATTTTTATAACAATAAAACTATTATTTTTAAATGGCTTATTTTAAATTTACATAATCATAGAAAGCTTTTATCACCCCTTCAAGATTATAGGATTTCTTTAGCAAAAGCTTAAATTTTTCAGAATCCCATACATTATTTACCAAACTTGGACTTATTTTTACTTCTAAAGGTAGTGGTACACGTTCGTGATTTTCTGTTAATTTAGTAGCGATTTGAAGTTTTAAGGATAAAAATTAACGGTTCAACTGGGTATGTTTCATTTATGAAAAAAGAAGATACTTAATACCTAAATACTCATAATATTGTAATGAATAGTACATTCAACTTTTTACGAAGTACATTACCTACTTAGGTAAGTAGGTAGTACTAATGCGTTAACAAAAGTGACTACATTTTTTTGAATCGATACCATATAGTTATGCATGAGAAAATTATGTAAAAGTTTTTGTTTTTATTATAATTACTTATATGTAAATATCTGGCTAACAAATTCGTACTACCTACCTACCTACCTACATTAAAGCCACGAATCCTTTGTAAGAAGACAATTTAAGGACTGCACTTACGTACCAGAGTGATGGTATCCGACATACCATTGCCGAAGGACAGGTCATATCGCAAATGGTGTGAAAATACACAATCACTGCTTATGTCTTTAGGGCGGTACAGCAACAACAGACCTCGGGCGTCTACTACAGTCAAATATAAAAACGAAACCAACACAACATTTGGCACATGCCGCCTCCACTCACTCGACATTGTAAGAACTAGTCATCAAAATCTATTTGGCCGTGCCTTTGATTGAAATCTTTTAAGAAATCTTTAGTAACTACTATTAGTAGTACTAATCCAAGCATCCATAAATACCAGGCATAAATTGAGAAATGTTCAGTTTTTCAGGATCGCCTGAAAATCCATAACAGCTACAAGATACAATAGAAAGAAGAAAAGAATGATACAGGCACTGCTCACTGCCCGATAGGATCCAATATTACTTATGTATCTAAAATATTTCCACACACCATCATCCATACCACGTCACTCATGCAATAAATAATTGAGTATTGAGTACCTACTTTTCTATATTTTTTTAAGCAGCTATCTATTTTAAACGTATGTATTAAGTATGCAAGTCAACAATGATACCAAAGAAGATTCGATACGCAAGTGCTCTTTTTCTTGGTGTTAAATCATTTTTCATAACTACTCGTATGAAAATGATCACGGAATTGCATAAGTATTTTTAAGTACCTACCTACATAAACTCACGAATGCAAATGGAAAGAAATGGAAAAATTTCTTCACTACGTAATATTTATGTTATAACAATAAATAGCTCGATGTTTAGCCTGACTACACTTTACATCCTATTTTAGGGAATGCAAAATTTTGTGAGTATGGAACAAACATTCTCTTTCACGCAATATTTTTTCATAAAAAAAAAATACATTGTTTATGTACAGATGGCTTCAACCAAGGAGCCAGGCGAAGAGGAGCAGTGGTCCTGCCATCATTACGGTTACAAAAAAGACTTTCGCACAGCCCTGCCTCAGCTAATTGCAGTCAGTGTAAAGAATCTGTTACTTCTTGGTAAGTTAATTAGATACCTATTGGTATAACTCGTGAATAGTGAGACTTTTTTACCTGTTATTCAAATTTATGTATGCGAGTCATTTCTACTAGTATCTTAATATGTAAGTCTAGATATTAGCACGTCACTACCTTGTTTAATATACCACGCAATCTTGTATACCCATTCTTATAAGATACATCATACACGAATGCATGGTAAATTCAGTGAACTGCTCCTGAATCGAATGTACCTACTACTACTATTTCTATTTATTTATATTAACCGGCAGACAGTGGTGACTGAGTTTGTTGCGGCGCTTCTTCTCAGCACTTGCCAAATGTTGGTCTCGAAGCGCTGGTAGGGTAAAAAGATTATGAGACATGTAGAGGCTCCTTAAGAGCAAAATGACGATTTGTAAGAACTATTTATTAGTCCAAACAAATAAAGAAATTTTGACTTTGACTTTGACTTTGAAATTACGGTTTACTGAAGTAAATTAAGACCATATTATTGCAGTTTTCGAAAACTTTGTTCATTTTTAATACTTGTATATTCGAATATAAATTTTAGTTGCTAAGCGAAAAATAAATTATGCGAAAATGAAGCTCACTTTAAATACTTTAATTTTAAACCTTTCGAGACCTTGCAGCGCACGCTGGTTATAAAATACCAATTAATTTAATTCAGACTTTGCTTGAGTTTTAGTTAGCCTTTTTAGGGTTCCTTAGTCCTGACAAAGAACCCTTATTTAGGATTTAGGAATATAGACATAATATTAATCAGTCTTTCCTAAATACCTAAGATACCAAATTTACTAATGCAAGTCAACTTGCCTAATTCGTGACCTCTTTAAGTCCGTGATAGCTACTACTTTAATCATTTACAGCAATGAGTTTACCTTACTTTTGTACTTACGGATTGTACCTCTTACTCAATTTCAAAAGTGTGAGTTGCAACAACAACAATATCTGTGCAGCTGGTTATTTCTAACTTCCAGTTGATAAATGAATAAAGGTTAATTAACTGCAAATTATCTACATATATGAAGACCTCTGGACTTGGTAGACTTTCTCTTTGTGGATGCCCTCTATTATACCTACATAATAAAAGAAAAAGATAACAAGCATGCGGTTTATGGATTCGTCTACGTTCAGGTGGTTCAGGCAATAAAGATAATTTAAATTAAACAAGTTGCACAACGTGCTATGGAGAGGGCTATGCTTGGTGTTTCTTTGCGAGATCGAATCAGAAATAAGGAAATCCGTAAACGAACTAAAGTCGCTGACATAGCCCGACGGATTAGCAAGCTGAAGTGGCAATGGGCAGGGCACATAGTGCGCAGAACTGACGGCCGATGGGGCAGCAAGGTTCTGGAATGGAGGCCGCGTACCGGAAGGCGCAGCGTGGGACGTCCACCTACAAGGTGGACCGACGACATCGTGAAGGTAGCAGGGAAGCGCTGGATGCAGGCCGCTACCAATCGATCAATGTGGAAAGCATTAGGGGAGGCCTATGTTCAGCAGTGGACGACCTATGGCTGACATGATGATGATGATGATGATGAAATTAAACAATCAATTAAGACTTCAAAATAGAGATGCACCGAATGTAGATTAAACCGAATACGAATGTTCGGCCGAATCATTCGGTTCAAATTTGATTAAAACTTAAATTACCAACTAATGTTGACTCTTAAAGTTTCTATAAATTTGTTTTTTAATTTCATTTGTGAACGGATGATATAATTTGTTTATTGTTGATTTTAAAGAATTTTATTCGACTTACATTGAATTAAAACTACAAATAGTTATAACAATTCCTAGTTCACCATTCACTAGCATACCTACATTCCTAGATAGATATTTATTTAAAAAAACTTATTTGATTTTATAAACATATTTGAATACTTGTGTTGGTTCCTTAAGATAGTAGTTATTACATTACAACTATTCTAAAAAAAAATTTCTGAAAATAGTTGTTTGTTACTCAAAGCAGTTTTGGCAGTGTCCTTAAATTTTTCAATTTCATAAAAATTAAATTTATCTTTTTATTTCACAATAAATAATTGGTACAAGTAGTGTCTGGTTCATTTTCAAAAACTATAAAATACTTTCGCTATAAACCACACTTATTTAGTAATTAGTTAACCAAACTGTTTAATTAAATATTATTTTTTTAATTGTTAACAATACTTTTAATATTCGGTTATTATTATATGGTCGGCCGTTTGGTGTAGTGGTTCGAAACGGACTACTATTCCGGAGGTTGCGGGTTCGATTCCCGCACAGTACAAACATTTGTGTGCATGAACATATTTGTTTGTATTGGACTGGGTGTTTTCTATGTATAATAAGTATGTATTTACAAAAAAAAAAGTATTTAAGTATGTTTATATCCGTTCTCTAGTACCCATAGTACAAGCTTTGCTTAGTTTGGGACTAGAAGCGCAGTGTAAAATGTCCAAGGATATTTATTATTTATTATTATTATTATTCGGCAATTCAACCGAACATTCGGCCGAATACGAACATGAAAAAAATATGCCGAATGTACCGAATACGAATATTCAACCGAACATTCGGTGCATCTCTACTTCAAAACATTCCGTTAAAAATAATCTATAATTTGGAGGTGCACTTAGCCATAGCTGGGCATTAACTCGTTAATCCGTTAATCGTTAATTAACGAAGTTAACTTTTCTATTAACGGATTAACTTTTAAGTTAACTTTAAAAAATGTTAACGGACTCGTTAACTTCCGTTAAATTATCCTAAGTCCGTTAATCGTTAATCCAGTACCTACTATTTACCAAAAAGATACAGCATGCACGCTGAAAAACGCTCGAAAAACGCGTTCTGACAAGTACGTTCGGGCTTCCAGAACTGCCAGAACCCAAACAGTTTTTATTCTTTCTTCTTTCTTTCTTTTCAGCCAAATGACGTTCACTCTCACACAGCCTCTTCCCGCGACCTTTACCAGATCGTCGGTCCACCTAGTAGGAGGCCTGCCCACGCTACGTCTTCCAGCCCGTGGTCGCCACTCGAGAACTTTCCTGCCCCAACGGCCATCGTCTCTACGAGCTATGTGCCCCGCCCACTGCCACTTGATTTTAGCAATTCTGCGAGCTATGTCGGTTACTTTGGTTCTCCTGCGGATCTCCTCATTTCTGATTCGATCACGCAGGGAAACTCCGAGCATAGCCCGCTCCATCGCCCTTTGGGTGACCTTGAGCCTTCTTATGAGGCCCATAGTAAGCGACCACGTCTCAGATCCGTATACCATCACTGGCAACACGCATTGGTCAAATACTTTCGACTTAAGACACTGCGGTATTTCGGACGTGAGTATATGGCGAAGCTTCCCGAACGCTGCCCATCCGAGTTGGATTCGACGATTGACCTCTTTCTCGAAGTTGGACCTACCTAACTGGACTGTTTGTCCCAGGTATACATAATTTATTATTATTATTATTTGTTCGTATATTTTATCTCAGCTTTGGTGCTGGTAAGATTAAAACCAGATACGGGCCAAGCCAATTTATTTTTGTCTTGTCCATGTTAATTCTGAGGCCCACTTGTTGAGAGGCTCTACTGAGGCCATCGAGCATTGTGCCTAGATCCTCCAAGGTCTCAGCCATGACTACGATATCGTCCGCGAATCGAAGGTGGGTGATGTACTCGCCGTTGATATTTATGCCAAATCCGTTCCAGTCCAGAAGCTTGAAGACATCTTCCAGGGCGGTGGTAAACAGTTTTGGAGATATGACGTCTCCCTGTCTTACCCCTCGCTGCAACTGGATAGGTTTCGAGTCCCGATCTATAGTTTTTATAAATACTATTTTTAATTTATTTATTTTCAAGCTTTATAATGACCACTTGGGTGTGGGACAAATCTTGAACTGAATTTATGACCAATTTTCTTCAACCGATTGAGCTGGGTATACATAAGTAAGTACGATGACAATGCAATGTTATGGTATGGAGCTGATCTGATGGCGGAGTCAGGAGGTGGCCATAGGAACTCCTAAATGAAACAGCGGAATCGCATCGAATTTGGGTTCGTTGGATTTGTCTTTTCGAGAACTATAGTACTAGATGATGTCCAGGGTCCTGATGATGGAGTCAGGAGGTGGCCATAGAAATTCCTAAACGAAACGGTGGAAACTTATCGAGTTTAGGTTTGTTGG